ACTCCCAATCCCTGTATTTGCCATTATTTCTTATGGAAAGACTGCCATTGAGATGTTAAATAGGTTGTGCATACTTTTATCGCTGAACATTTTAATGTCATGCAATATTATGTATCTGATTGTTAATCTACCATAAATATGTTGTGATTTTTTTAGTCATTAATGGCTATAGCATATAAGTTCCATTCCAAGCCTGTCTCCCAAAAAAGTAACTAATTTATTTAAATCTTTAGCATGGTTTCTTTTTCCTACCTATGTGATCCAATTAGCTCACCATTGTAGTTTATTAAACTATAACTTTCTTTAATGGACAGATGCCACAAAACTGAGTTACAGTTGGCTCTCCATATCTGTGGGTTCCACATCCACAGATTCAACCAACCGTGGATAGACAATATTAACAACAAAAAAGTTATGTTGTTGACGACATGTACTATGTAGTTAGGTTTATGATGGTTGTGTCTGTACTGAATACGTACGGATTTTTTTCTCATTGTCTCTAAACAATATGGTATGGCAACTATTTACACATTATACTGTATTAGGTCCTATAAATAACCTAGAGATTTTTAAAGTATACGAGAGGATATGTGTGGGTCATATGCAAATACCATGAAATTTTGTATAGGGGACTTGAACATATGCAGATTTTGGTATATGTAGGGGCTCCTGAAACAAATATCCAGAGGATACCTAGGGATGACTGTACGATGAACTTTGCTGTGATATCTGAACCATGTTCATCAAAACTTCATTTTTCCCTGTGAGTTTGCCTGCTGTATTCAAGTTCTCTCTTGCCCAGGTTCTAAAGTTCTTTTAGCTTATGTCCTCACACTCCACTGTCCTAATTAGCTAATTTGTTCCCTTCAGAACTTGCTAATTTGAGAACCACTTTTCTCTGTACTGCTATTGCTTAACCCCTAATACACATATAGTCTCAGCTCTTACTCTACACTAAACTATATTAATAGATACCTTTTTCGAATTATAAGAGAATTTCCCAGTCAAAATACTGCATCATTAACTTATACTTTAAGAGCGTAGGATCTAGTACAAGGGTCTGATAAATTCTATTACTAGTTGTATGACCTCGGGTAAATTAAATTCTCTGCGCTTCAATCTCCTTATTTGTAAAATGGAGACAATAATAATACCTTACAGGACAGTTCTGAGGACTGATTAAAAGAGTTAATATAAATAAAGCACTTAAAACAATGTTTGGTTTATAAAAGTATTCTGCAAATGCTAGACTTTATAATTATCACTAACTCTGAAGTTCAACTCTGAGATAAAAGCTACATTACAAAAATGCCTGGAGATTTTTCATCAAATGGAAAAAGTTTAATTTGGTTTCACGGCCAAGACTTTTCCTAAGATAACAAATATTTCATCTCTAAATACTTTCAAAACAATTGAACAAACAGATTTATCTTAAAACATAGTTATATTTTGTTTTGGTGAAATAAAAAAAATTATTTTCTCAATTTTGGGGTTGAACATTTCTTTAAAAAATCTACTTTACTGAGGTGCAATTTTCTTAGAAAAAAATGTGCAGTTTAATGAGGTTTAACAATATATACACTTGTGTAATCTCTACCACAATAAGATTGAACATTTCTATCATCCCCAAAGTCTTATACTTCTCATTTAGTCAATCCTGCTCCACCTTCAGGTCACGCAACCAATAATCTACTTTAGACAATGGCTCTCAAAGTGTGACCTAGGAAATATGAAAAGCCAAAAGTATTTTTATAAAAAAATTAAGATGTTACTTGCCCCATTCCCTCATGATTTTACAGTGGAGTATCTAGAGGCTGGCTGTATGGTGTACGATATTGTAAAAGATTAAATGCAGAAGCAGATATGAGAATTTAGCTCTCTTCTCTTAAGTCAGACATTAATGAGATTCGCAAAAATGTAAAACAATGATACTCTTCTTATTGAAATAGTTTTGCTTTGAATTTTTTAAAAATTAAAAGCATGTTCTTTATGTTATCATGTAATATGTTGTTATTTTAAATTGAATTAATACATATTTTAAAGTTTCCTCAGTTTTGATTTCTAATATGGTTAATAACAACAGGTAGTACAGCCCACAAAACAAAAGGTCTTTGGAGTCCTTAATATTTAAGTATATAAAAAAGTCTAGGCTTAAAATATTGAACTAGATGATGGTTCCTCCTAATTGTAAATGCTATGATTCCATGGTATCTGAAAACTAGGTATAGAATTTTTAGTTAACTATTTACTTGTAACAATGAAATAGTCTGATTGTGCTGATATGTCTTTAGCATATTGTAAAGCAGATATAACCATTTAAACAAAGGAAAACTAGATTAAAACTTTCTCTTGAAAGGGACTATGCTATCTAATTTTTTGTACCCAGAGAGCATTTAGCCCAATTCATGGCTTTAAGAATCCCTTCATTAGAACTAATGAAAAAGATCATTACCTTTTACCAAATACAGAGACTTTTCTTTCAGATGTAGGCTTGTTTATGTTCAATTTTCCGAAGGCTGGTTTCTCTTTGCTTTAAGAGGGGAGGAAAACAACCTCTTTAAAATATTAGTTCAAGAAACTTTTGGAAATATGTCAGAACCAAACATTTTCCCTATTACCTACAAAAATAATTCAAAATTATGAACACAGTTACACTTAATATAAATCATCTAAATTACAGACCCAAAACATTGACAATTGGAAGCCTTTTTGCTTCCAATACGAGTCAAGACAAATCTTTTGGCATATGTAATATACAACAATACAAATAATTTTTCTTCGGAATAAAAATATATAAATATTTCAAATTTCTAAAAATAGAGGCTCATACTATGTAACTGTAATTTAAAAACAGTTAGCAAGAAAAACTTACACCTTGTGTTAAACAAAAAATGTTAACTTAATGGCTGAAAGTCTTTTTTAAAAGAAAAGATTTATTAGGCCATTGCAAGCAAAAATGTCCAGGTCCTTGGCCATGAAATCTTAACCACCAGCAGTATGGCAAGGTAAAAAGACAACATGTCTTATGTCCTGGAGTTAAGCTATTTTATACATCAAATGTAGGGGTGGGGAGTGGGAGATGTAAGCTGTTCTGAAAAATTTTACATTAGCTATAGACATAATTGGGGGAGAAGCTGAAGTGGGGCTACCTCTGGGATAGGTGCGGAGTTTATAAGGAAGAAGTGTCCACTCCTGTGGCTGAGCTGTGGGCAACAGAATAAAAAGTTTATGTGTAAATAACAAGTAGAGGCTCCTGGGGTTCTACGGCACCTGGCTATTGTCTCTTTTAGATATTCACAATAATGGCCATCTGGAAGTTAATCCTAATTCCAACAGGTATACAGAAATGTGAACAGTATTTTGTTAGAGCGGGCCTGCAGCTATTAACAGGTTAACAGTCTCTTCTCTCACTCTGAGGCCACTATAAGCTGTAATTTTATTTCAGAATTTTTTTGTCACTTGGTGTAAGAAAAGTATCGATACAGCCCTACAGTAACTTACTAAGAGCCCACTCTTAATTGGACGAAAATGACTCATAGGTGAAAACTATGATAGTAAGTTCGTTACCCAGGGAATCTTGAGAAAATACGTTTGGAGAAGTGGTGTTCTGTAGGCTGCTACTCAACTGCAGCTTATCATCAGTGCAAAAAATTCCTTTCAGAACTTTGGTAGTTGAATACATCTTAGTAAATTGAAAGTTATTGCACAGAGCCTGCTCAAACAAGCAGTTCTAGAGTAAAGAAGGAAAAAAGAAAGAGTGCTGAAGGGAGTTAATTTTAGGAGTTGCCTTGCAAAAGACATGACTTTGGAAATTTAAGGATCAAATGAGATAAAACACAACACCTAGTAATAGGCCCACTTTTAACATTCATTGACTCAAATTAGGTTACCACGCAGAACAGGCAAGATTCATCACGACATCACTCATGTTACAGCTTTGTATTAACTACCTTTAAAGATTTTTTTGTCCAAGATGAGAAAGCACGAAGTACTTACGTTTGAGGGGTATAAAGGCCTTGTTTATTGAAGTCTTGGGATCTTAACTCCTGCATAGAGAGGCGGCCAGCACCACCGGTAGACACTGAACTGCGTTTCATGCTTATGACCTGTATTCATGAATTCAGTATTAAAAAATCTTTTCAGGCGGCACTACTAAGCACCAACTATTATCTTTATCCTCAAACAGAAAGGAAGCTAATTCTATTGTTTCTTCAGGATAATCTTTTCCCTGAAGTTAATCCTAAATTCCCACAAAAATACAGGAATCTGAGCAGCCTTTTGTTAGCTCGTCTATAATATTACCAGGCTAACTGTTCTCTTTCTCTCCCTCTCTGGCGGCTGTAATTTAATTGGGAACATCTCAGAATTTTTTTCTTCTTGGTTTGAGCATCTATTTCTTCTTCAATATATGCTTCTGCATTAATCTACTTTTACAGTCTAACCCATGTGCCCACTCCTAATCAATACCTGAAATGTACTCTTAAGATTAAGACTTTCAGATGTACTTACACGGACACTAGAATGTTACACTAGTATCTCAAATACACCAAACAGTTCCTATCCCTGCTCCAATCAATTCTTCCTCCTCTCTGGTATCCAGCCTCTCTTCTTCCCTTCAGCGTCCCCCAAGTCTTCCCCTTTCCCTTTTTCTGGTAGAAATTTACTGGACTCCGGGAAACCAGCGCCTTGCAGATTCGGCCCGGACGTTAAAACGTTGGCCCTGAGGGCCTCTAAGTTGTGGGCACTCGTCGCCTTCTCCCTCCACACCAGTACTGCCGCCATAGAATTAACCCGAAGTAATTATTTACCTTCTTCCAGTTTCCTGACACGATCCAGAAATCGAATTTCCGTAATCCGGGCAATCACCCGCTTGACAGGGTGGCATCAGCCAAAACACCAACTCCTTGGTCCACCCGCCAGCGCCGTTAGAATTTTAAAAATTTCCGCTGATGTGACGTCATCACGCGCGAGGTGCTCGCGCGTGCGCATTTCTTACGGGGAGCTGCTCGTCGCCGGAAATCTGCCCGTGTCGCGCCCTGCTCTTTTTCCGGGTACGTTGATGTCTCCTAGGCACTGTAAGCGTGCCCCTGCGAAGTCTGGTCCAAACCCTAAGTTTATCTCTGAAACGCGAACCCTCTAAGTCGCTACGGAACGGGCAAATTGCACTAAGTGCCCAGGAAATGCTTTGTCCGTACAGCAACATGGCCGCGCCTGTTAACTCTTAGAAAAGGAGAATTTTTTTCTTTTGGGCTGAGAGGGGTGTCTTTCTTGACCACTGTTTAGATGGGTGCTGTTTCATGATGCAAGTCGGGGAAGGCGGCTTGCACTTTTCTGACATGGGAAGCGGTGGGGTTCGAAACAGTGACTGCAGATTTTGGACGCAGTCGGTTCCGAACATCGCGGTGGTGTGGCCGACGCTAAGGTTCGGGCTCAGAATTTGCTGTCTAGGATTTTACGACCTTCTAGTCTAGTGGTGTCCTGTGAGAAGGACGAATCCAATGGTTAGGGGTAGGGCTGGTGTGAAGCAGAGAAGTAGCAGAGAGGTTCAGTGAGCATAGTTTGCTTTGCTAAATAAAATCGGACACTCGCGCTTCCGCGAGTTTGAACTCAGAGACAAACACTGCCTAATACCTAAAGAGAGGTGGGGGTGGAAGAAGAGCTCAGAGCCAAAGTCGGGATACCTGGATCTTGTATCAATTGTACCAGCCTAGCCTAGAGTTCTAATTTTGGGCACGCCATTCCTCCTGAGTTTCAGTCTTCCTATCTAAATTTCTAGCTCTCACTAGCCATTGCAGGACCTCCTCACCACGAGTGGCGATTCTGAAGGGAGAACCAATACCAGCATTACTATCACCAGTAGCGTTTATTTGAGCAATTGCTTTGTGTCAGGCACTGCACAGCACTTTATGTTGATCGTCTCATTAAATTCTTTAAACTGCTCTCTACGATGTAATAAAAAATGGTGAAATTGTGACTCGGTGGGATCAGATAGCTTGTCCATGGTAATAAAGCTAACACATGGAGTTAGACTAAATGATACTAGTATTAACTGTGCTGAGTCACTTATGTATTTCTTAGTCTGCCCTCGTCTTAAAGTGCTCCACTACACTAGATTTAGTAAGCGATATCCAGAACTGAAAACCATCTTTGAAAAAGGATTAGGAAGTTCTGAAAAACCTAGTTGTTGGAGGGGGACTGCTCAGAATCAATACACATCTAGACTCTGTAACCTTGCAATTTTGCTATAGTTTAGTGCTTCTAATGTGCTGTTAAAATTGCATCTTGCTTTGCTTTTACCCTTTTTTATACTTCATTGGTACCAGTGATTAAGTAGGGCAATGATATTGGAGAATGGGTTGATTTACTATGGCAAATGTAGTTTGAGAAAACAAGAGCTGACATGCTAATAACTCCTGGAAATTGTGACCTTATGTAGGTTTATCTCATTAAAAAGGGTAGATTCACATAGGGAAAACAATATTCTTTGCTTTGACAGGACACTTTGTTAAGGATTCATTGACTGTCTCTTGGAAGATGTAGACTTAGTGGCAAGATCCAAGTACCAAGCAGGGCCCAGGAAGACAGGAGGATCAAATTTGGATTCAAGAAATTAGATCAGGTTTTAATACTCTTTGGCCAAGTTGGCTGGAAGTTTCAAATTAATCAACCCTGAAATTAAAAGTTTATATGAAAACTATAATTTTCCTTAGACCTGCTATATATCATAAATATTAAGTTCTCTCATGTGTGCATGTCAAGTTTATTTACTTGCACATCAAATCTACCCTTGTGTATGAAGTACATTTTTATTGAAATATAGGGCATCTAAGAACTTGATGTGGAAAGTTGGGTTTTACTTCTGATCTCTAATTCCCAGTTTTGTTTTGTTTTTCAAGAAAGAATGTCTGTGGTGCATCAGCTGTCACCAGGATGGTTACTGGATCATCTTTCTTTCATTAACAAGATAAACTATCGAGTTCACCAGCATCATGAGCCTTGTTGCAGTACAAATGAGCCCACTACGTCTGTCCACCTTGATTCCCTTCATGTGGATTCTATGTCTTCTTTTGGATCCTCTGCTAAATTTATTGTTTCTGAGTCTACTGCTAAGCCAGAGAATGATGATAGGGGAAATTGTGAAGCATTCATAAAAAGATATATTTTTCGGTCTGAATTGTTTGATATCACTAAACCTCATATAATTTCAGCTATTCACAAGGAATGCCAACAAAGTAATGAAAAGGAAGATCTAATGAATGGTATTAAAAAAGAAATCTCCATTTCTACTTTTAGGAAGGTAGAAACTTTTAAGAAATTTTTATATTTCTACAGAAAACAGAAGAAATTTGTTTTTCTAATATCTCAGCTATCTTGTGATTTACTAAGTATTAAGAATAAAGCATAAGAATCAATAAAGCATAAGAAGGCTTTAGTATATCTAGAGTAATTTTTAATTCTTTGCTAACAATCTTTGCTATATGAAAAGTAGTAATTTATTACATTGTTATAGGTTCCTGAAGTAGAATTTTTATATTCTTGTGATTTTTTTGTACATATTTTTTTCTATTTCAGCAACTATTTATTGTCTGCTATATGCCAGGCACAGAAAAGAATATTTCTGCACTTTCAGTAATATAGTATGTAGGTAATTTATCATTACTACTACAAATTCAGGCAAATAATAGCCCGCAGTTGTAAAGGATTTTACTAAGTATGGACATTGTATTTTAATGTTTAGATATTTTAGTATTAGGTTTTTTAATGTTTAGGTATCTTATATTGGGTAAGTTTCTCATTTTAATATGGAAAAATAGGGATGAGCATATGTAATGAATGTTATCTTGACAAACAGCTTATTTCTGATATGCTATGGCAGATTGTACAATTAGCTTCACCTTAAGTCCATTTATTAAAAATACGTAGTTCCTGCACTGTATTTCACTGTCTTACATGTTTTTTGCTACGCAGTTATTAGATATATTTGATTTGTACCTACCCTCAAATCAGTCATAAACAACTATTAAAAATATATTGGGAAATTTTTAGGTGATAGTACATGTACGATAGTTCAGTACTCTTCAGAAATGAAGTTCAGAATAATTATACCATATATGTCAACTGATGACACTGATGACTAATTATACAATTTCACAGTTTTCTTGTGTTCCATCGATGTCAGTGCTACATTTTATCAGTTGGTACTATTTCTTACTAATAGCAGATACGGCTGAAGTGACCTTTTGTCACCTATTAAATTTGTAGTAAAAGTAATAATTATTATTATTTGGGAAAACTTTGGTACTTTTTATCAATACCCTCTGCACTGATTTTGTCCTTAATAGTCAATTATTACCTCTTAAAGGCCAAGATGCACAATATGGAAAATGATAAATTCAAAATAAGAATATTATGATAAGTAACAATATAATTTTCTCTCTGTAATTTACTCTTTAGAAGCGTAAAAGGTGTGTCAGTTTCAATCAAGGTGAATTGGATGCTATGGAATACCATGAAAAGGTAAGGTGTGAAATGTTCATTGTTGACACTATTAGATTAATGTGAAGTGTAAATAAATAGACAGTATAAATAGGGATGTTCTTAAAACTCAAGCAATCATTTGATCAAGGTTAGAATTTAATAGTGGAGTTGATTGTTCATTGTTAATTTTATAGTAATGAACAATTTAAACTAGTTTTTATTAAAACTTCATATACTCCTATTTTATATGTTTATATGTAGGTAAACGTAGGCTATATTGGTTTAAGTTTAGAAATTTTATAAGTTATAAAAAAGCCTATTGTCCATAGCTAAAACATCTTAGAAAAGAGGGGCAAAAGAAAGCACGAATAATGTGAAGGATGTATTTCTGGAACTTAAAGTAAATAAGATCCAGGAGTTAAAGAAATGAGAGAAAACAGAGGGCACACAAGCTTAACTCTCTAAGGAACACCTTTTATTGAAAGGGGAAATGGTGTTGAAATTTGGCTTAGGAGGCATGATAGTAAGTACAGTTTTGGACATATTGAATTAATATTATGGAAAGACAATAGATTTTTTCCTATCTTTTTTGTGGTAAAATATACATAAGAAAATCTACTGGTTTAACCTTTTTTAGATGTATAATTCAGCCTTAATTACATTCACACTGTTGTGCTATCATCACCACCATCCATCTCCAACCTTTTTATCAATCCAAATAGAATCTGTATCTGTCATCCCATTCCCCACTCTCCCTATCCCCTGGAAACCTCTGTTCTGTTCTCTGTCTCTATGAATTTGCCCATTTTAGTTGTTTCATATAAGGGGAACCATACAATATTTATCTTTCTGTATATATATGATTTATTTCACTTAGTATAATGTCTACAAGGTTTATCTATATTGCAGCATGTATCAGAATTTCATTCCTTTTTAAGGTTGAGTAATATTTTATTGTGTGTATATACTACATTTTATTTATCCATTCATTTGTTCATTTGAGTTGTTTCCACCTTTTAGTTATTGTGAATAATAGTGTTATGAGTATTGGTGTATAAATATGTATTTGAGTCCCTGCTTTCAATTCTTTTGAGTACATACCAAGAAGTAGAATTGCTGGATCATATAGTAATTTTATGTTTTAACTTTTTGAAGAACTGTCAGACTATTTTCTACAGCAGCTACACCATCTTCCATTCCCACCAGCAATGCACAAGGGTTCCAGTTTCTGCACATTTTCACCAACACTTGCTCTTTCCTTTTTAATACTAGCCTTCTTAATGGGTGTGGACTGGTAGCTCATTATGGTTTTCATTAATACATTGGATTTTAAATGTATTGACTGTAGCTAAATATATAAATGTTAAATCCTTCAGTGCGAAAAGTCCACTATGTTTTGTTAATTTTGGAAATACACTTATTGCCTGGAAATGCCACTTGAAAGATTAAAGTGTGGACATATGCAAAAATTCAGGGTCTGATATCATACAAGAAAGATTAATAATTTTACTTTAAGATGTTAAATGGAATTAGGAAACAGAATTTAAATTCACATGTATTTTGATTGTTAAATTCTTTTGGCTATTAATGATAGCTATAAATTATGAAACAGTTGTATGCTATAGAATGTAATCAAATTCTTAAAAAGTCAGAATAGAATACCTACAAAATCTAATGTAGAGCTCTTTTAGTTTCAGTAGCAAATTTGAATAAACGTACTATTTGGCCATTTTATTATCAATTAAAATTTTATAGAAATTAGAATTTCTATCTGCTGTAATGTAATGTTCAGGAATTAACAATTAAAAAAGTCCATATAAAAACTATTAGATATGTAGGTAACTTTAAGGAACATGTATTATGGAAAAGCCTAGAGCAGAACTTGCCTTCACTGAATCTATCTGTGCCTCTCACTTTCTTCCAATGTAAGTTCCCTTATTCATTTATTCATTACTCGCTCATTCATTATTTAAAATTAAATCAATATAATTTATTTAAAAATATTTGTTGAATACCAACTGTATACAAACTGTGTCAGCCCTAGGACTTCAAAAGATTGTATCTACTGATTAGCACATTAGAAATAGATAATTTTTTTTTACCAAAAAATTTATTTCAAATCTGAATGTAGTAAGAGAGGCATTAAAAAATCACAAGGATTATTCAAAAAGTAAAAGTCCACCTCCATTTGAAGAGAACCAGAAAATAACATATCCCATCACTACAGTTCTGTGTTAAGGCATGTGACACAAGATTTGCTTCTTTAACCAGGGAACACTAACAATAATAATAACAACAATAACAAGGGTCTATTAATTATTAGTAATCAATTTATGATTTGAGAGCAATATCTAGAGAACTTTGATTATGAAACAGGAAAGTTTTCTCTTCAATTATGGCTGACATTCAATATTAGTTTCATGTGCCAAGTTTTAATATGGCTCTAAAGTAGAGACGAAGAGTTTGGATCTTAAAAAACATAGAAGGCCAGTTTAAAGGGTTATTGTGGTAAATGCTGAGTTCTTAGGGATATAGCTTGAAATGATATAAAAGATTGAATTGTAAAATTAGATTCACAAAGATCAGGGATGTTATCAAGATTTATACCACACTAACAATTTCAAGGAGACAGGAGTCCTAAGCACAGGGAAGGATGCAGGTGTCTGGGACAGCCAGCATCCCTCCCCAGGCCCTTCTGTGCAATGTTAGTACAGCTCTGGCTTGGCTTTGACATATGAGCTTTACGGGATGCCTGCAGGAGCATTACATAAAAAGAGGTAGTTTTGTTGTGAAACATCTCCATTTTCTTTTACACAGATGGTTATATAGCTTATGTGATATTTTCTAGGTAACTATGCCCCATAAGTTCACATATTTCCAAGTTTAATACAAGCAATCCTAGACAAACCAGATATATGTACTAAAAATTTCCTAGGTATAAAAATTTTCCCACTAGTAAATACCACTACTGTCTTTGCCAGGAATTCTGTCTTTAGAAAGTTCAAGAGGTTTTTATGTATCTTTCCTTCCAGGTGCATCCTACAGCAAAAGGAGAAAATGACTTGTAGGTCTACAACGAACATTTTCCTTTCTAGAAATAGATAATTTTGCCTGTTTCCCCACATCCTTACCATCATAGTTATTGTTTTTGATCTTTGCCACTATAAGTAAAAATAGTATTTTAGTATGGTTTTTATTTTATTATGAGTGTAATTAAGCATTTTTACATATGTTTAAAATTCATTGGTATTTTTTTCAGGTGACTGTTGGTTTCTTTTGCATGCTTAAAAAATTGGGTTGCTGTCTTTTTTACTAATTTTAGAAGCTTTTAATATGTTAGGGAAGTTAGCTCTTTGTCTATGATATAAATTGTAAATATATTTCCCATTTTGTCATTTAAATTTTAATTATGATTTTTTTTGTTTTTTGCCATACAGATAATATTGTATTTTATTTAGTCAAATTTATTTATTTTGTTCTTTTATGACTTCTGAATTTTTGAGCAATAATTAGGTATTCCTCTTAAGGTTTTAAAATAATTTCCCTATGTTTTCTTCTAGAACATTTATGGGTTTATTTCATATTTATATCTTTGGTTCATTTGGGTTTTGCCTGATGTGAAGTGTGGTCTATGGATCCAATGTTGTTTTTTTTCCAGATCACTAATTCCATTTGTTCCACCGTCATTTATTTTTTTTCTTGCTGAGTTGAGATGCTAGATGTACTAAATTTGCATAGGTATTTGAATTTATTTCTGGAGCTTAAGTCTTAATTAATTTGTTTGTCTATGTATTTGCCACTCTCCTTTGAGATTTTGCAATATGAATGTTTTAATGTGGTAGTACTTGTCCCCCTGCCACATCTTCTCATTGCTTTTCTTTTACAGAATTTTCCTGGCTTTAAAAAAGAAAATCCCCATTTGAGTTTCAGGATTGATATTAATGTTTTGTTAGGAAAAAAAATATTGAAATTTTTATGGCATCCAGTTAAATTTATAAATTAGATTAAAGGAATTATTGACATCTTTAAGATGTTGATGATCCTGTCTCTAAACATGAATGTGTCTTTCCATTGTTCCAGTTTCTGTTATCATTCTGTAAAATTTTCTTTATAAAGGTCTTGCAAATTTACTGTTGCAGTTAATTTTTGTTTTACTGAATTGCATGTGTTTTCCAGGTAATAACTTTGACTCATGCAAGGAGTAATAGTTTTATTTATAACCTCCTAATTAATTATATCTCTAATTGATTTCTCTTTTCTAATTATATGGGCTGGAAAATATGATACAATATTAAATAATATTTATAAGAGGAGCTATCCTTGTTTTTTAACTGACTTATTGGAGATGATTTCCTCATGAAGTATGATTCCATTGATAGTTTTTGGACTGAGTTAGAAATAGCAAGAAGTTTACATCTATTCTTATTTATTTAGTGTTATTATCAAACATGGTGATTGAATTTTATCACATGTTTTTTAAGCATTAATGGAGATTGAATAGGTGACTTTTCTCCTGATACTTTATTTTTTTCTCACATATAACCGTCCCAGCATTTATTTGTAGTATGTATTCCACATGACAATGATGTATTATTTTTAAAATATTTTACTGGATTTTATTAGCTAGTATTTTATTTGGGACAGTCATAAGTGAGATTGGTCTTTTTTTTATATATATAATTATTTACAGGTAATTACATATATTAGTGTAGGAAATTGCAATCCTTTTTTCCTCCCCACTTCTCTGGAGTAATCTCTTTAAAAGTTTGGCACAGCTTCCCTTTGTATCCATCTCAGTGTGTTGCTTTTTGTGGTGATACTTCCTTGACATTTTCTTTTGCCCCTTTGGAAATCAATTTTAGATTAAAAATTTTTCTTTCGTAGTCAATCTTGGTAAATTGTATTATTTTAAAATATTATCTATTTGACTCAATTTTCAAATTTATTTATGCAGTCTGTTTCTGTGGTTATTTTGCCTTCATTATTTATGTTGAATATTTACTTTTTTTTCAGATTTGTAATATGCTGTTTTATTTTCC